GATGGGTTCTGAGTTGGTACATGATGCCGCTGAAAAGATCAGACTAATCCAAGATAGATTGAGGACAACACAAAATAGGATGAAGTATAATGACCCAAACCATCGAGCGGTCCAGTTTTAGATGAGAGATTTTATATTTTTGAAGGTCAATCCCATGGAAGGGGTAAGTAGATTTGGTAGAGCGAGAAAGTTAAGTCCAAGATTCATAGGTCCTTTTGAGGTGATGGATACAATTGGTAATTTTTATTATCAATTATTACTACCTGATCATATGTTGGATGTGCATGATGTGTTTCATGTATCTATTTTAATAATGTGGATTTCTAATGTTGAGCACAGAGTTCCTAAAGATGGGGTTGAGATACAGTCTAACTTAACATATAGAGAGGAACCAGAGCATATTTTGGCCTTTGATGTGAGATAATTGAGGAGCAAGCAAATCACTATGGTTAAAGTTATGTAAAAGCACCGATCAGAAAGGGAAGCCACTTAGGAAAAAGAGACTGATATGAGACAGTGTTATCCAGATTTGTTTAATAATTAGATGTTTTGAATGTTGAGGACGACATTTCTTTAAGGAGAGGAGAATTTAATGTTGCTATTGTAGTATACCAATGCACTTGTTGAGACCTAATTTTGGGATTCGCAAAGTCTTGTATGTTTATTTTATGTTTATTTATTTTCTTGAAGTTTTTAAATTATTTTGATGCGCAATTTATTCGTCAACTTTTAGTAGTTTGTTTCATACTTGATTTATAAATTATCTTTGTCAGATTGTAAAGCATATTTTTACCTATTTTTATGGGCATCATAAATAAGAAAATAAAGGTTACTTGTTAAATTTGTCTTCCTTAAGGATTTGGTTTATTCTTATACAAGTGGGTTTTCTAGAATCATCTGGTGTTTGTTTTACAAGCTGTTTTCACGAGTTTGTTCTAAACATAATTTTCTTTTTCTTTTCTAAATTTTCATAATTTTTGGAGTCCTATATTTTAATATGTAAATATAGTTATAATATATA